AGATATACAAGTAGCAAGCACACAATCAAAAATGGCCCATTTCCCTAGTAATCAGAGAAATACATTTTAAAGCACAATGAGACAAATAGTACTCATGAGGCATGTGTTCTCAGATCTCATATTTTGAGTGGTAAATGGAATATCCTTTTAAAAATCCATTTGTTAACATGTAAATATTTATGTGCCTACTCCAGAAATATTAAAGCTATGTGTTTATTCTGAGAAACAATGATTAATTAGGAACATTTATGTACACAAAAATTCTAATTATAGTATTCTTTGTAAGAGCAGTAGTTGGAATTACTCTACACTTCCAATAGTAGGGGAAAAACCAAGTATATGGTAGCTTAATAAATTTGTAAGTAACCATTGAAAATGTTTATTGTGATTAGGTAATGTCATTAGAATGCTGTGGGAAACTGCTTATTATGTGAAGAAATTAAGAGACAAGATCAGGACTAAAATTATATGTAATATTATTTCAGTTGAATAGATATTATAAGAGAAACACTTGAACAAAATACACAAATCACTGAAGGTGGTCATGATTGAATGTTTACACTGAGGCTAGAATAGCCTTTTATACTTCTGCATAATTTAAAAATGAAGATTATAATAAACAATTCATTTTTAAAGAATAAATTATATGTATTTTCCAGGATTTATGCATTAATTGTGAATTTTTCTAAAGCACTAATGTATTTTTCAAAAGGTCACTTCTATTGCACCTAAAATGTCTCTCTCCAAAAGAAACAAAGACCCATCTAACAGAATGTATAAGAGAAATAATCCAGGATGAAGGTGACCCACAGTTTATGAAACATTCCTGTTAAGTTTGGAGTCCGTTTAAAGTAGGATATCATCGAAAGGTAAACTAACTGTATCCCATGCACACAGCAATGTGGGTATCAGAGACTGGGGGGAGGGGGCTTCAGTGGGTTGGTTGTATGGTAGAGCTATGTGTCCAATGGAAAGCTTGAGAGCTCAGCAGAGAATTGGTCTCAGAAGCCTGGTTCTATGGCTGGGGTCAAGTGGGAAGAGGTCTTAGAGATGATGTTCGGTGAATGCTGTGCCTTTTTGGGTGAGTGATGCCTATTGTGCTCCAATTAGGAATATGAGAAGCTTAAATGAGAGAAGCCTGCTTTATCTTAGATCCAGCACACTGGTAGTCTGGCTCAGAAGTAGGACAAGAATAATCCTAGGGATAAGAGAATCAGAGATTCATCTGAGAGGGGTCAAAATGAACAGGGGTAAACTATGAGCAATCTTGTGACAGCAAGATTTGACCTGGCAAAAAGAGGCCACAAATGTGAAGCAGAGTGATTAAAAATGCTAACCAGCCTAGACAAGACATGTTTTACACTTGCTCTCTTTTCCTCCTTTGACAAAATTGTCCCATTCATAGGGGCTGAGGGTGTAGCTCAGTGGTAGTGTGCCTACCTAGCACACACGAAGCCCTAGATTCAATCACCTTCCAAAAATTCACTCCATTTATAAATTCTATAATTTGAGAAATTATTTCAGGTGAAGACAAATGAAACCCCTTTGTATTAGACATTGATGTCACTTTTCAAAAGTGAATGACTTTACAACTCCTTTTATCTCTTGAAATTACAGCCATGGATACCTTGCCAATTACACTGGAGAGAATAAAAACCATCATGTGCATAGGTGGCCTTCCAAGTTCAGCAGAGCTGGGAAGGTGGGATGAGTAGGGGAAGGGTAATAAGGGAAAAGAAAAAAATGTGAGATAATGAAAATATGGAAATAAAGTGTTTGTAGATGGGGAGGGGAGGAGGGGGTGAAGGGAGGGCAGGAACAAGGGGAAAAAAATGAGAACCAAGACTTGTGATGTAGAGGTACAAGATCCCAACAATGAATGTAACTGTACTGTATCCCAAATTCAGCAGAGCTATATATTTCAACCATGTGTTGGCTTGTATTATTTTCTTCACATGCTTTTAAAGTCAAATTATGACACCAGTCACTGCTCTACAACTTCCCTGCCCTTGCTTTTGTTAGATTTCTTGACTCTAGAATGGTCCCTACTCCTGGGACTGGACTAAAATAAAACAAAGACAGCCCTGTTGTGGTACATATATCTTAGGAGGCTTTCAATTGGCAGCAGCAGCGATCTGATTCAAGGTACCTTAACCTATAAAGTAATGTAATAATTGATATAACAGAAAATTCAAGGTCAGGTGGCTCTAGAGTTGGTCATAGTAGTAATTTAATAATGTGGCCCCATGTTCCTTCTCCCTTTTGATTTCACTGCCTTCAGCATTGCCTCACTCCTGGACCTGGTTCCAAGCATCCCAGTGACGACCCATCCTGATTGGCTGGGTAGACCCAGTTATGTTCCTTTACCTGATACAATTATAAACAGCAAGCGCTTCTACTCCCAGTAGTGTCGTGATTTACATGATCAGTCATTATACAGTAACTTGCATAGTGGTTTTGCTGCCAAGTGCTGCTAATGGGGTTGCACTATCCTCACCTCCACTGGGAGAGGGTGGGATGCCCTCCTGGAGAGGAGGAACTTACCAAAGAGCCTCCAGCAAATCTTTCCTCTCATCCATTTGACCCAAATTATAGCCCGAGAGATGTAATTTTTCTGAGAGCAAATACATCCACCTTAAAGCTAGGATCAAATTCTAAGGCACATAATTTTCACAGGAGAGGGACGGCTATCTGAACATTATGTTTAGCTGGGAAAGAGAAATGAAGAATACAGAATGGACTGCCACAAGCAAATCCCTTTATAATGAGCCTGCTTCTTACTTGTGATAATTTCCCCAAAATTTCTGTGAAATAAAATGATGTACAGATTGTGAGACCAGACAGGGCCACACCTGAATTCTGAGAGACCTTAATGCAGGGGAGAGGGAGTATTTCATTATTGGCATTCTAACCTGTAGCTTACTATCATAAAGTGATAGCTCTTTATGCTTATTCTTGCTCAGTGGAAGGGCCCACTCAAAAATCTTCTGATTTAGTCTTTGCTAATTTTATCAAAAAGGTGCCATACAATTCATATGAAATCCTCAAATGAAGAAGATTGAAGCCCCCTCACCCCATCCCATGCAAACCACACCAGAAATCTCCATTCTATCAAATGTCAAAACCTTTTCCTTACCCCATGGGCTATACATATTCCTCACGTAAAAGTGTAATTCAGGCTAAGCTGTTTCTCAGAATGGGTCACACCCTCTTTCCCTAAGCCTGGGCTTCATTTCAATCCTCAGTGTTTTAATTACCCCTTGCATTTTCTTCAGCATTATCCCTTTACGTTGCTTTGTTCAACATTTGTCTTTTTGCATTGTGATATTTCCAAATGCCCACCTTCTTTGATAACCCAGGGATATTATTAACCATTAAATATTTTTAAAGGAATTTTCAACTTCAAGTACATTTTTTAACTTCAGTAAAATATAGACCACTTAAGACTCTTTCGAAAGCAATAGACCATTTTCCCCAAACACATCCAAACTCAAGAACACTAAACAGTCCTCTACAACTTCCAGGCTTTCGGGAACCCCTTGAGAACCCCACATGCTATCCATACAGGTCAAGTTAAATCAAGTTGCTGTACCACAAGATGGTGGGCTCAGAGACCACTCAATTCACACATGTCTTCTCAGAGCTCATCAACACCCACTGGTTCAAACTCCACTCAGGGCCTAACAACTCCAAACTCTAGGTCTCCACTTTGATTTTGAACTCCACACTTGCTCTTCCAGTGCCTACTGGACATCTCTACGTGACTACCCAACAGGCACTTCCAATTCAAAATGTCCTAACAGAAGGCCCTGGAGGTCACACTGATGGTTGCCTTTTTAATGTGCTCCTCAGACATTCAGCTGCCAGGACTTTCTCTCTATACTGGAGAAAGACCTTCTGCCTATGCTGGTTGGGAGGTCACAACTGCCAGAAAATCAGCACCTCCTCCACAGTCCTCAACTACCTTCCTTGTCCTCAACTATAGTCCTCAACTACAGATCCTTGTTTCAGTATCTGCTTCTGGGGAACCAATGACATTCATCATCTCCATCACCAAGTCTGCTTCTCCTCTTAGGGACCTCTATCTAATGATCACACCCCACCCAGCCCCATCACCCGAGTCATCCACCGTAACTCCTGTTTCTTCCATCATTAAGCCCTGCCAATTCTATATCCCTAGTACAACTTGACTAAAGTTCTACATCCCTCCTAGTACCACCCTGACTTGAGCTTTCATCGTTGCAACAGCCTCTCTTACCTGGTCTCCCTGCTGTCAATCAATCTCATCTCCTTCCAATTCACCCTCCATACCAAACACCAGAGTGCTCATTCCTCAATCCAAATCTTCCCTTGTCACTCCATTGTTTAACAACCTTCAATAGTTCCCATCCACTACAAGAAAAAGCTCCTTTAAGGGACAAACCAGGGCCTTCAAGTGATTCCCAGCTGCCTCTCCCTCCTCCCTTGCTATTCCCCACAGCCTGCACTCCAAACTCACAAGATATTTGCAGCTTGTAGAAAGAACCTGCTCTGCATCCACGCTTCAGTGGCTTCTGTTCCCTTCACTAATAATACCCTTCTTTTATGCTGGAAAACTCCTGTTTATCTATTAGTGCTCAGTAACCGTCACCAACTCTGGTAACCTTTTCTGACTTCTCTGCCCATGCCATTCCCTACTTGCCCAGTATAGCCATGGGCCCACTCCCTGGATGTTCACCTAGCCCATTTCATAACTCATGTGCCACAGAGCATCGCAGTGTATTATTAACAGTTTATTTACTCATCTGTGAGAAAGCTGGAGTCAAAACCATGTATTAACCATGTTTCTAACCAAAATCTTTAGCTCAGTGACTGGTAAGCATGTGAAAACTAGAAGCGATGCTGTGTTAAAGAAGCAGAATACAGATGAAAGCATCAGATCTGACATGAAACATTTCTTGGATCCTTATTTAAACCACCAAATATTAGAATTCCACATCTCAGAAATCACCCAGACTCACCTTGGAAAACTTTTGTTGTTCTTTCCTGCTGTTTGGGGATGTACTTTCTTCCCTCCATTTTCTTAGCCACTTCTTTCACTGTATGAACACATTTCTTCCAGATTAATAGTCCATTTTGCCTCAAAGCACCTTCTGTTACCCCCTTCCCAAATCCATTCCTGCCCTTTATGGGCCCTGTATTTATTCTTTGCTCTGTAAGGGCAGTCACAGTGGAAATGCAGAAGGTGCCATTGTATATTGCTTTGGGAATGGGGCCATGATGCCTGCTTATTATGCATTAGTCTGAATTGATGTAATATTTTCTGAAAACACAAGTGCCTCAAAGCAAATATGAACCACAACTGCCTCAACTGCCTGAAAGGATCAAACATTAACCTAAGGTTGTGATGAGGCCAACCAAAGAAATAGGCTAGTGTCTTAGTTAGTTTTCTCTCATTGCTGACACCCAAGTTAGAGGGGGGAAGGGTTTATTTAACTCACAATTTGTAGGGATTTCAGTCCATAATCAGCTGGCTCCAAAGCAGGGTGACACAAGGCAGAGGGGCGTCACAGAGGAGAAACAGTTCGTGGTGCCCACGTGGTAGTGAAAGCAACAAGGGACCTTGATAGCATCTTCGTGCCCCTTTTTTTCTTATCCAGACCCCGGATTAGAGTGGTGCCAAACCAATCAGTGGGCTGATTTACTACTCACACATCCTTCCCAGTGCCACACACTCTAGATTCAGCCACCTCTGATAAAGCCTAGGACTGCATGAGGCTTTGCGGGGACATCCAGACACAAACCATAACAGCTAGTAAATGCCTTCCAGGCTATCAACCCCTACTTTATACACACACCCTCTCAACACACAAAACCTTTATGGATTTTTCATCCATGAATTTGTCCAATTATAATTGCCCAGCTGGGTTTTTAGTTGTACTCAGGCTAAGTCCCAGCAACTGAGACTTCACATACCTGATTGAATATCTCTGAACAGTTACAAGACCTATAGAGAAAGTCTTCGGTTACTGAAAGGATTGAAGACAGTCATAGACAACTATTTCCACAGGTTTCATTACTTACTTGAGACTAATTTGAAACCCCTAAGGCCGGAAACAAGCAAGAACTAGTAGTACTTACTGTTGGTATTCGTTATCAATTCTCATACATGCAGTGTGGGTCTCTCTGCCTCTGTGTTGATTGGGGTCTTCTTAATTCATCTCTTCTCTTTCAAAAGAAGAAATTCAGCACTGAGGATTGGTACTACCAGGGCTGAATCCTACCACACACAGTAGATACAGTGCCTAGGGGCCCACAGTAGTTTGGGGACTCAGAAATCTCTTAATTTCTTTTAAAATCAGAAGGGAAAAATGATCCTTTAAGTTGAAGAAAATGTTTTAACATATAATAGTACATCTGTCTTTACACTAAAGCAATTGTAAAATGTAACTTTTAGTATCTTTTTGTGGAGGAAAGAGTCCACAAAGGCAAAAGTGCTCACAAGGCATAGTTTGGCCCCAGTTACTACCACATTAGGCTTACATCACATTACTGTTATATTAGACCCTTTCAAATATAAGTTCAGATTCTCATACTAGTTAGTTTATAAAGTGGCCAGGCAGCTATAAGGGTTGATCAAAAATGCAGTGAATGCTTAATTTTAAAAATTATTATAGCAAAACACACATTGCTATTAACCCCCCCCAAATTGTTTCCTCTCACTTGGAACACACTTATAGTTCTTGCCCCTTTGTCAAGCAGTTCTGTAAATCCACTTTTGTGTATACCTTTAGGAGGTATGATCAAAAATACAATGAGTGCTGCTGCTGAGTGCCATCCAATGGACAGGTACATTCATAAAAATATTATAGTGTATCATCATCCACCTTATTTACCCGATATGGAACTGTGCAACCTCTAGCTCTTTCTCGAAGTCAAAATTACCATGCAAGGTAACCATTTTGGATGGAAGCAACTCAAGAAAAGAGGAAACAGGACTTCCAAAACTGCTTTAGAAAGTGGCAAGAAAGATGGGGTGAGTGTGTTTGAATCAAAGGTGGGTATTTTGAGGGGGGTTAATGGCAATGTCTTTTACTGTAGTAAAAATTTTTTAAAAAGTCAATATTCACTGTATTTTTTCAATCACACCTCGTAATTATTTCACACTCTTGTGACTGCTCCAAATTCTACAAAAGAGAAGTCATAATTGATACAGTGTTGCAACTTCAGGGAGTCTGAGTATACAAAGAAAATCTAGATTCATACTGTTCTCTTCTGGTTAAATTTAAGTCCTGGGCTCCCTACCATTCTCTCAACAATCTTCCTTCTATTTTGATTAACAGAAAAATATCTCTATATCTTTAAGATATAATTAAACCAGTAGAGTTGCTTCCCCTGCTTTCTGAAAACACTTTAAAGATTTATGTTTAAAACTTTTTAATGATACTATTGATACTATAATTTATTTACTGGTCAGCAACCATACAGTCATCTTCTCTCCGGTTCCTAGCTCAGTGTCTGGCAAACACTAGGTGCTTTAAAAATGCTAGATTAATACCTGAATAGCCTCTTGAATGGAAATCAAATTCTATCCGTGAAATAATTTTGTCTTTACTAAGCTCCTACTTGGTGAGAAGAATCTTCAACCTGTATCACAACCGGCTTTTAGGGTGATCGCTGATTCCCATCTCCCCTACTTGCATCAGCCAACCCCTTCCTCTCTCAGGGGCTCTGTTTCTTTCTCTTCATCCTGAGATCTGGAATGGTCCCTAGCTCTCAGCGAGGCAGCAGGGTCTCCACTCCTGAGAGCGACCCGGGCGCGTGTCCCAACCCACCCACCTAGTGGCCCCGGGCTTCCCTTCCTCCTGCCTCCTGCCATCCCGCGCCGCCCACAGCCACGCCCTCCCCGTGGGCGCGATCACCTGTTCTTCCTCTGCTGCCTCCTCCTCGGGTACCGTTTCGCCCCCCTCCTGCCTCCCCTCCTCCGCCACCTCCCCCAAGCCCTCCCCTGCCCCGCCTCCTCCCACCCCTTGGTGTATATAGTAAAGA